CGAGGCTCTGCGCGAGACCTGCCGCCAGTTCCCGCTGTTCTGCTGCCTCCTGCTGGGGCTCAGCGCCGCCACTGTCCTGCTCATCCGGTACCGGCCGCCCCGCCCCCACCCCGCGGGGGCCCTGCAGCCGGGCCCCACGTCTTGCTGCTAGCTTTGCATCACCTGCCTGCGCCCTAGCAAGATGGTCTTGTGGGAGAAGCCCTGCCTGTCTCTTTCCACCTCCCAATTTGGGGTGTCTCAAGTTGGGGAACTGAATTCTTCACCAGAATAGAAGCCCCCAACTGGGGTGGTGGCTGTCCCGCCCAAACAGTGAGGGCGGGTTTTTACAGGCTAACAGTTTGGACCCTTTCACAACTGCTGCTGGATTGGCAGTTGCTGAGTGGCCAAAGGCTGCTGGATTGGCAGCAGCTGTGAAAGGGTTAATGCTAACTGTCTGTGTCCCGTCCCGTCCTGTCCCGTGTGCCCCCACCCTGCATGGGGAGCTTGGCCAAATGCATATTAGCTGCTGCATGCAGTCAGTTGTGACTGGGGAAAATCTCTCTGTCTACAGTTTGCCTTCCAAAAATGGGATACGCGTCTTATTTGGGGGCCTGTGGTATGCCAGAAAATTATGGTCACCTACTTTGTTAGCACTGGGTTTTTTTCCCCTTTAATGAATTACCACCTTGGATTCATCTAACTGGCTGCCTCATGAACTGGGTCTTAAAACAACTAGTATAGCTAGGTAGTTTTGCGATGAATTTTTGGTACAGTAGTCCCTAAAAGATGTTGTTTTGTTTATCATCACAAAATATCCTGTAGGAGATGTATTGCATAGTGTTGCTTGTCTTGTATACTTAATTTCTTTTTCTATTCATTTACAAGGTATCTTCATATTTTAATGATCTTTTGGTCGTTCGTGGCTGGTGTCGTCACATTCTATTGCTCATTAGGACTAGATTTTCTCTTCCCAAATATTCTTTTTACAGTAAGATATAAACCCAAGGTAAATTTACTTTCCTTCTTCATAGTGTATAAGTTTTCTCCATTTCTTTTGTAGAATAAATATGGAAAATGCTTTTAGTCAACTCTCTGCTCATTAATGTAATTGTGGCAAATGCAGATTATATCTGTTTGAAACATTACTATGATGAACAGTATTCAGATGAAGATTACGGACCCAGCTCTGCAGACTTGTATGTACAGGCAGTCCTTAGATTTATGACGCAGTTGGTTCCTGGAAATCATGTCTTAAGGG